GGGAGCATACCGTAGCAGGGGGCCGACTGCCAGGGCCGACGTTGCCCGCTGCGATTTCTCCAGACTCAGCTCCGGCGTCGGCGCTTGGGGCGCCGGTGCGCGACGTGGCGGGCACGACGCCCGTCTCGACGCGGCGCGGCCGTGAGATGCGGGCCGCGGGTTCGCGCGCGTCGATCAATGTTCGGCTGGAGCGCGAGCTGGGCGCTCAGTTGGCGACGTCGTCGTCGGCGTCGTCCTTGGAGCCGGGCACGCAGTCGGGGAAGGCGTCGACGTTGTTGCGGTACTTGCGGAAGTAGCGCTCGTAGATCTTCGCCTTGATCTCCTCGAAGAAGAGGTCGTGGTTGGCCTTGCAGCGCAGCATGGGCGCGATGACCTTGCCCTGGAGCGCCTTGCGCAGCTTGCTCGTGTAGAGGCTGTGGATCGAGAACGACCGCTCCGACACGGCCTCCGTCGCCTCGTCGGCGAAGATCTGCTGCGCCATGGCCGCGTGGACCGGCGCGCGCATGCGGAGCTTGCTGTAGAACTGGAGCGCGCTGAAGTGCTTCTCGCCGTCGAGCCCGGCCTTGAACTCGAAGCGGTCCTTCCTCTCCTTCTTGGGCGTCGACCGGAGCTCGTCGAGCCACGTCATCTCGCAGGCGTCGACGTCCATGGACGCGTCGTCGTCGCTGCTGCCGTCCAGATCGTCGAAGGCCTGGTCCAGGAGCGACTTCTCGCCTTTGCTGCGCTTCGTGCGGTTGCTCTCGACCTCGGAGAGCTTCGTCTTCTCGCCCGCCTGGCGGCCGATGCGCGCGGACGTCTCGAAGTACAACGCGGAGTAGAGCTGCGTGGCCGCCTTGGAGGCGGCGTCGCCGGCGGAGCCGCCGCCGAACACGTCGGAGACCTTGACGAGCGGGTTCATGTGGAGCGCGATCATGTCGCGGTCCGTGACCATGCCCGGGGCGAAGAAGCGCTCCTTCACCTGGCTGATCATGATCGAGATCGCCTCGCGGACCTCCGGGAGCAGATCCTTGGACTCGATCTGCACGAAGGTCTTCGAGTAGACGCCGTCCGAGTTCTTCTTCCACGTGCACGGACCAGGACTTCTTCTCGAGGGAGCGCAGCAGCTGGCGCGCCATGGGCAGCGTGCGGTCCGTCGTCGGCACCGTGCTGTACTGGACGAGTTTGTTGAACTCCTTGACCTTGAGCAACACCGGGAGCATCTGGCGCGCCAGGTTCCACTGCGCCGGCGTCGGCGTGCGCTTCATGAGCTTGGCCTCGTCCATGGCCTTCTTCTTCGACAGCTTCGGCCGCTCGTCGTCGTCGTCGTCCGAAGACGACGAATCCTCGTCGTCGGAAGACACGATGGACGCCGTCTCCTCGACCGCCGCCTCGTCGAGCTCGCCGTCGATGATCTCGTCGCCGCGCAGGTCCGCGTGGGTCTTCTTGAGGGTCATGCGGAGGGCGGGCTCGATCTCGATGGCCCGCTCGAGCATGGTCGCCGCGCCGTCGGCGCGCGTGTCCGCCGGGTTCAGCATGTTGAGCGCCGGCTGGGGCTCCGAGACGATGCCGCACGCGCGCTGGGCCGCCTTCATGGCCTCGTTGAACTTGGTGGACTCCTTGGTCGTGTACAAGGCGAGCTTCTTGAAGACCTTGAACATGGCCTTCAACGCGAGCGGCCGGAGCGCGTAGTGCACGCAGCGCATGCCCTGGTGGAACGCGCAGATGCGGAAGGCGAGCTTGAGGATCTTCATCGCGCGCTTGCCGTTGGCCGCGCCGTCGATCGTCGGCGCGCCGACGTTCTCGATGTCGATGCCGTGGAGCGCGAGGGTGTTGGCGATCCACGTCGCGATGTTCTTGCCCGTGTGGGGGCCCTCGGGAAACTCCTCGTACGCGAGCTGCACGTTCTTGTGCACGAAGCCGCTCTTCTCGTCGTCGACGAAGGACAGGTTGAGCGTCACGTACGCGACGCCGCACGACGTCATCATGTCGAGCTGCCAGCTCACGCAGGCGCCGCCCACGGCGCGGACGTGCGCGCTGATCTTCGCGTCCGCGGCCTCCGTCATGAGCTCGTCCATCACCGCGAGGACCTTGATGGAAGTGTCGCGCGTCGGCGGGACGTAGCCCGGCCGCAGCGACGCCGCGAAGCGCCGCGTCCCCGGCGTCTTCGCCCGGTGGAACGGGACCGCGTCCGTGTAGCACATGGAGACCCAGTCGACGTGGTAGTTGAACGCGTCCTCGAACTTGAGGCGCGTGATCAGGGAGCCGTCGGCCGACACGATGGTCTTGCCGCCGGCCTTGGTCTCGCCGGAGCGGAGCATCATCTTGTACTGCTCCGGGTGGCACCTCTCGATGTGGCCGCTGAGCCGCCCCGTCGACGTGCCGCGCTCGTCGATGAGCATCCGCCCGCACGGCGGGTCCCCGGCCGTGAAGTTGTCGAGGCAGGTCCACTTGTTGACGGCGAGGAGCGACTTGCCGTTGTTCTCCGTGACGTACTTGACCAGCTGCGGCGCCGTGAAGCACACGCGGAAGCCGGACGCCTTGCGCGACGCGGCGAGCGCCTTCTTCTGCCGGACCTCCTCCTTGGTCAGAGGCACGGGGGCCTCCTCGCCGGCCTCGGGCTCGTCCTCGGTCGCCTGCGAGTCCTCCTCGACGGGCGCCGGAGCCGGCGGGTTGGCCGCGAGGTGCGCGGCGTGGTACTCGGACATCATCGTGAGCGCGATCCAGAGGCCCTCCTCCTCGTTGTAGACCGCCGCGTCGTCGATCATCTCGACGCGCACCATCTGCTGCAGCGCCGCGATGCGCGCGATCTTCTTCCGGTCGTCGTACTCCTTGATCACGCACGGGTAGAGCTTGTCCTCGTCGTCCTTGGAGCAGCCGTCCCAGAACTTGCCCATGACGGAGGAGCGCTTGCCGATGAGCGCCGCCATGTCGCTGCCCTTGAGCGAC